TTCCTAATCATTTTTAGCAAATTTTAACCCTAGAAAACCCTAGAGAGTGAGAGAAAGAGCAAACATAAGGATTTGATGGAATTTCGCATAGGAGACAGATCAAAGTGTAGAATTTTCACCAAAACACGAATTAAAGGTAGGCGTTCTTCCCAAATCTATCCATTGATGCTAGGGTAACTATTTATGTATGTTTTGACTTACTATCATAGTTATATANCGAAATTCCTGATCATTTTTAGCAAATTTTAACCCTAGAAAACCCTAGAGAGTGAGAGAAAGAGCAAACATAAGGATTTGAAGGAATTTTCGCATAGGAGACAGATCAAAGTGTAGAATTTTCACCAAAACACGAATTAAAGGTAGGCGTTCTTCCCAAATCTATCCATTGATGCTAGGGTAACTATTTATGTATGTTTTGACTTACTATCATAGTTATATAATAAATATTCATTGATTCTTGATTTTTTCAAAATTACTAGAACGTTGTTAATGGGGTTTGTGTTTTATAATTCAAAAAACAATTGCTCTTGCTTTTGAAACCCTAGAATTTGATTAAGTAGAAGTTTTACACATGCTATTCTCTAGTTCTTGAATTACAAACCCTAATTCTTGATTTTGAGCAAATAAATTATGATTTAAAGATCTCTTGCAAGCTTTCTTAAATTATTCTGTTGAGAAAGTGATTTGGTGGATGGTGTTTGAAATTATCTCTTGTATTNTTTGTTTTATAATTCAAAAAACAATTGCTCTTGCTTTTGAAACCCTAGAATTTGAATAAGTAGAAGTTTTACACATGCTATTCTCTAGTTCTTGAATTACAAACCCTAATTCTTGATTTTGAGCAAATAAATTATGATTTAAAGATCTCTTGCAAGCTTTCTTAAATTATTCTGTTGAGAAAGTGATTTGGTGGATGGTGTTTGAAATTATCTCTTGTATTGGGGTATGATACATGTATGCTACTTTCAACTGGATATCATAGAGAGTTTAGATGTTTTGGGACTTGAGGGGTACCGTGGTTTCATATCACTCATAGTAGGTTGGTTCCTCATAGGGTTCCAAACACTATTTGTTTACGGCGGATTGAAACTTAGGGTTGATATACTACAATCCTAGGAAGGATTCATCCCCGTCGATGCATCAGTTTACACCCTTCCTGAAGTTTTTTATGATGTGACCCTATGGGGCGTTGTTTTGACAAGGTGGAGTTTTGTGGGCTAGGATATTCTTGTTGTGTAGATTCACTATAGTCCTGTCTACATACATAAGATATGTGGTTGGAACTGATTTATCATTTGAAAGTTGGTATTATTTATTTGTTATCATAATGTATTCAATGTAAACTTGAGACCTTATAAATGTTCCTATTTTACTTCCAAGGTTATATATGATATTTATAAATTGAGATGACTTGTTTTAAGACCTTTTGCAGGTTTAGGAGGATGTTGCTACAGAGCTTAGTGCTCATCCTCTATAACTAACATTTTTTAGATTTTGAATTGGGGCAAGATTTCAGACTAGAGGAATAGGTAAATTGGGCTATCAATATTGATGGTGATGTGGATCCCGAGGTAGATATTTAGGGATGCAACCCTAGTTGAAGGATTTTAATTACTTTGGTTTTAATGATGTAATAAACATTCTTTAGTTAGTCAGTTTTGGGATTTTGGATGTAATTTCCAAAGTTTAAATTATTGGTTTTGGATTATGATTTAGTTACTTTGAATGAAGAATGTATTTTTTTGGTTTATGAATATTATTAGTTGCTCTCATGGTATGAATGGTTATTAGTTAGTAATGCTCAAATTGTAGAATTTGGGTATTGCAGATATTCAATCAATCATTCCAACAAACACATAGTGCGCATGTGTGGAAATAATCACAAGTGTATACAAAAAAGAGTAAAGAACACAAGCAATTTTGTTGACGTGAAAAACCCTCATCGGAAAAAATCGTAGGGAAGCTTATCTGTTCATCAAAGCCTAATCCAATACTTGCTAAGCCAACACACAAGTACTAGAGACTTATACCTCAACTAATATCATGGTTAGAAGCTCATTTCCTTGTTATCTCTCACCACCAAAAGTTCCTCGTCAACGTCTAGTGTAGCTTCACTTGGACCTCCTCATCGCATAGTTCTTCTAGGCCTCAAACGATTATGAGCATGCCAAAAATCCTCAGTAGGCACACACCAATGGGTTTCTCAAACCAAAAAGATCTTCAACTCCAATTTATAAGGTTAGGTAGAATCTCTAGTGGTAGCCTTTGGTTCTTAGGGATCTAGGTTGTGATGGAAGCTATCAAGGTAGAGAAATGAATTTCTCTATTTGAAGTTTCTCTAGAGGCTTAACCTAGATGTGGAAAATACTCTCCCTATTTATATGTCCGGAATAAGGGTAGTCTTAGTAAATAAGAAAATTCCTATTTGCAAACGATCGCTCGATCAATAGGAAGTCAGTTATAGGGCAGTTGTCATTGAAATGAAAACAACGTTTCAAACACGACTAAGATAGGCACTACTTAAGCGACCATGAGACCACTCGAGCGAGCTCATAGAGCGTGCCCTATGCTACCTTCCATGGCCTTTTCCTATTTCCTTTCCTAAGTCATAAAGAGACCATTCTAGTGAAGTGAGAATAGATCAGTCCCTACAGGTTTTTAAATATAAAACCATGCAATAACTTGTCCTCTTGAGCACTAAAGGGTGTTTCTCAAAGAGGGGTCCGATTTTAACTTAAACTATGTTTTCAAAACTCATAAATGGTTTAGAAAAGAATTTATTTTAAAATCATCCAGGAGTCATAATCAGATCGCTTCCAATTTCATTTTTGTCTTAATCATACTGAGTTAAAAGTAACTAAGGGTTCATCTTAGATGTCTAGGTCACTACCATTGTCCTGAGCATGAAGGTGCATACGGAGTTTGAATGATGTTGCTTGACACTTGATCTCTTCCCTTCAATGACGATTTTGGATCTAGAACTTGATTGCATCATGACCATGGAATAGGTTGAGATTTTATAATAAACTTCACGAAATTAGCCAATTATGAATATGATCATATGATCTAACAATATAGATAAAAAAAGTAATAAAATTTTCAAACTTAACAATTAAATGCAAAAAATTTCATTAATTATGAAAATAAAAAATATTCAAAACATAGCATATTCATCCTCATTTCATTATCTTCACACATTACTCTAAGGTTTATTAAAGTATTTAGAACTCGATGTTCATGCATGCAAGAAAAATTTCACATCAATTACTTTAATTTCACTCACACATGTTCAAATGTTATGAATCATTGACCAATTCATGTGTAACATGTGTAAAACCAAACTCTTACACAATTATAATTTTGTTTATATCAAATCATTAATAAAGCCCTATATGAATTCCTAATGCATAACCGGTTAGTGAGTGTCCTATTCAATTTTTCTTTTTAGTCACTCTCCCTATTTTTGCATCCCTTTTACTCATTATGACTTCAATTAGCATGATTGTAAATTCTGTAGTTTACAAATGATGCTTCTAAACTTGTGCAGCGTAGATCATTAATCTTTATATATGAGCAATTACATAAAGCATATAGTACTCTCAACAATTTAAGTGCAATTGACACTAGCCATTTATTTTATGCTTCACCTTTTTATTTTTGGCCCCATTGGGATCTTTTCTTACATTTGGCACATTGGAATCTTTAAGGGATTGGGGGCTTTACTAACCTTTAGCTAGGTGTTCACATATCACCAAAACTTAGAGTCATGTAAGGTCATTAATCATTCAATAGAACTAGACTCCTAAGTATGGAGGTGAATGGTTGGACTGTACTTGGTTTATGAATTTTCATAAATAATGACAATATCCAAGCACGCTAGGATGAAAGAGACATGGTTTAAGGATCATGTAATAAGATTTGTAACCACAAAGTAATGCACTTCAACTTTGATTTAAAGATGGATAAGTTGTAGTTCAAACCAAAGTGTGATTACTATGATTAACAATGGAAAAACAAACAAAAAGAAATTTTTTTTCCTTTTATTTTTCCAATGGTTTTGGTTTTTCTTAATAACATAAAATCAAAAAAAATATGCATTAACAAGGAAAAATATAGCAACTACCATAAATCATAAGAATGTCCAACTAGACATCAAAATATTTTTTAGATTTTCAACCTTTTTTTTTTTTTTATATAGTTTTCATTTATAAAAAATAAAGTAAATAAAAAAAAATTACAGTGTATGAACCTAAGATATAAGATGTCATGCATGAGTATGTACCTAGGTCTACACCTTACCTCACCTAACTTTTAGATGACTCAATCTCCTTGATAGCATTCGTGGCTTATAATTTGGTTGAGGCTGTGAGTCTCTCAAAGTCCTCTTTACTCACCAACATTTGGTTTCCCTTATCTCTAGGGTTAGCTTGGGGCAAGAGTGTTGGACTAGCTCTCCTCTCTCTACGTGTCGTTAAGTAAATGTTAACCTTGGGAGTAGAGTGAGCTTTATGCTTTCAATTTGTCAGCCTTTAGGTGGTGAGGAATTCTAGGCTTAGACTTATGTGACCTATCCATAACTTGGTAATATGTATGAGTTAATCATTAAAGGATTTGGATTGGTTAGCTATGAGAAGGAGCTTCTTAGACATGACATCCCTATTATGCATACAATTTGTGCTATAGTGACAATGTTCTCCCCATGCAAAACACACAAATTGTTTGGTCAAGGGTTCTTTATCAACCGACTTCTTAAGTGCTTACCCTTACCATTCTTTGCCTTTGGGGGACTTGTGTTCACACGTGGGGGGTGATGGGTTGGGATTACCCTTCACAAACATTGTCTTAGAAGGAGTGGAACTGGTGTGCTCATGTGTATAGCCCAAAACTCTTTCGTCACTTACACTCTTACCTATAGACAATATTTTGTTAAGCTTTTTTGACCATAGGGATAGTCTCTTAGAGAGTTCTTGTGATTCGTGAAGGTCTCTATCAAGTTTTATTCACTTAAACTCTAGACCCTTCTTAGACTTTACATGCCCATGATATCCACTCTCTAGAAAACTCACCTTGTCCTTCATGGAATTATTCTCTTCTTCAAGCCCACAAATTTGAGCCTTGGACTTCATTAAGTCTGCATGGAGTGCTTGCTTTTCTTCTACACTTGATTTGAGCCTTGTGCTCAATGCATGCACTCTCTTATTTTCTTTGAGAAATTCTTCAACTAGTCGATCATAACCCTCTTGAATATCCTCAATGCACTTGGTGTCATAATCACTTGAGGAAACCTCAACATCCAAGTCTTCTACCCTCATTGTAGGACTTGCTCTTTCTTCTTCTCTATCACTTTTAACGTTTTTGGTAGAAGTTTCTCTAGGGGGAGGAATGTGAGCCAACGAAAGTCATAAAATTCTCTTCATCATCTTGAGAAGAAGAGTCCTCAGTCGAAGTGGACTCACTTTAACTATTGCTCTACTTGGCTTTTATTGTTGTCCTTTTAAACTTGGGAAAATCCTTCTTCTTCCTATTTGGGCATTCTACAACCGTGTGTCTAAAGCGTTGAAACTCATAACATTGGAGCCTTTGCCCCTTCTTTTTTTTTAGCCTTTTGCTAAAATTTCTTTACCCCCTTTTGAATCTCCTCCGTCCTTAGTAAGCTTAGGTCTACTACAATTCCCTTTTGACCCGGAAGACTCTCTAGCCTTAAAATATTTTCGAACTTTCTCACAAGAAAGTCTATGTTCTCATCTCCCAAGTGAGTTGACTCGGATATATCCTTTTCTTCTCAGATTGATCTTAAAGCCATACCCTTCAATTTCTTGGGTGAAAGGAGATTCATCTCAAAAGTCAATGTAGATTCAATTAGGTCTTCTACTAACACCTTATCCAAATCGACTCTCATCTCTAAGGCCTTCACTTTAGCTTGAAATCTCTCTAATGGAGATTTCAATATTTTTGATTTTATCGCGGGGTATTCATTCTTTTTTTTTTTTTGGAATAAATATGAAGTATGCATACTTGAAACTAAGGAAAAAAGATGAGTTGACTAATTCAAGTAATTTAACATAAAAATCACTAACAGTCTCATCCTCTAACATCCTTATGGTCTAAAAATGGGTGGTGTACTATTGGAGGGGGGACATCTACAATGAGAGACCTCTTGAATGCCCCATGCCTCCTTGGAAGTCTCGCAGTTTGAGATCCTATGAAACTTATTTGGAGAAATGACATTGGATATCATATTATAGCCTTTTGAGTTCCACCTGCACATTCATATTCATTCTTCATCCATGTGCTTAGGAGTTTTGGCTCGGTCATTGTGTCAATCCCCTCAGCATTCATTATAGTGGGAGGGGTCCAACCTTCCGACATTGGCAACCAAATTGGCTCATCTAATGATTTTAGGAAAACTCTCATTTGTGCCTTCCAATATGCATAATTAGACCCTTTGAAGAGCGGTGGTCACTTGAACGATCCTCGTTCTCTTTGAGAATCCATTAATAAAAAACTTGTAGTTATAACAAATCTCAAAGCAAACAACAACTAGGTTAAGTAAGTAAAACAAAAAGAATGCCTACAAGTGCCTAATGTAATCTGCTTGACTCCAAATAAATACATCCAAGTGAGGTGGTCAAGAAGTAGTAATACTCAGTAAAGTTTGAGGTCGTACCACAGAGATTGAAGAAATTAAGAAGTATGTTGTTCCAAGGGGGGACAAAAGATATGAATCTTCCCCCACAATTATACATGTGAAGCGTATGACATTGCCTAGAGGGGGTGAATAAGTTTTTCAATTTTAAACAAAATCAATTACAAATTAAAACCTAACTCTATCATAATTACCTCTTCTCACAATGATTGGTCAATTAATTAGTAAGAACTCCTTTCAGTCACCACGACCTCAGGAACCCATGTAGATTGATGTTGTTAATTTTAGAAATTAAATACACAAACACTCAATCTCACATGAGGAACCCAAAATCCAAATGCAACTGTAGATGAAATAGATTTCAATCAATCATATTTGTAACACCCCAAAACACACCCTGGGCGACATTATATTCTAAAACCATTCATATCATGAGAGCACTAATATAATCCCTTAAGAAACAAGACTTCATTTGTCATTCACGAATATTTACAATATTATCCAAAAGAATAAGCCCAAGTCATGGCTATTACATTTCAAAAATTAATTAAAGAAGCGCAACGGAATATACAAAAGAAGCTAGACTACAAAATGTTCCAAAAGAATGTCCTAGTCTAGTACAAAAGGAAAGGAGGTCGCTCTATGCGTCCACCTCGGGGTCCACACTCCCGTCCAATGGTGTCTCCCAAGTAGCAGGCTCCTCGACCCTTACGTCCTCCTCCTTAAGCGGGTAATTTGAAAAATGTTAGCGATAAGGGGTGAGCACGAAGCTCTGTAGAAAAACTCTCCCAAACCCATACAAGGTTTAGAAAAATATTTAAAACGGTCGGTCTCAATTTTAACATAACATAGATACATAATTTGAAATAAAATAGTGACATTTAAAATGGATCTCAAGTTTATTTAAAAACATTACTTAAATGAATAAACGAGAATCACATACAAATAATAACCATTAATTGTCATAACCAATTCCCAACAATTCTTTCGGTAG